GAACAAAAGAGAGAAGGTTGGAGAAGGACGGAGAGAGTTAGAGAAAAGCTTTCTTCGTGAGTGGTGGAAGAGAAAGTTAGAAAAAAGAATGGAAATTAGGATGAAAATGAAAGGGAATTCAAATTCATCCTCTTGGACTTGAGAATTGAACACTTAGGTCAATTAGAAAACTTTAAATGAGATGCTTAAGTTAAACTAATACAGTTATTGCACAATTAATAAGTAAAATCTCTTTTTTGAAGAATAAGCAAGATTAATTTGAGTTAAACTAGCATAACCAAATCTAGTTCATGGGTTAGTGTGAGAAGCTCCTGCATCTCTCTAGAAACTTCTGTTTCTAGGGTTTCAACATCTCATTGAATACAATGTCCAGAGTTAATAAATTGGTTTCGGGTAATGACGAGGGTAGATTAGGCTTGTTAGTGACGAGTGAAAAATTAGGGTTTGTAAACAACAACTTTGCAATCTTGAGTGAGAATTTGATGGAGCCTTCTGAAATCCCGCAAGTCCTTCAAAGTGAAGTTATAGTTCAAGAGGTAGATCGACTCTTGGAACCATAGATTGATCAGCCGTCCAGTTTAGGCGATCGTCGCCGAGAAATCTCAGTTAGGGTTAACGAGAGCCGAACTGTGGATGAGAGTGTTATAGCATTTGACATTAGGGAAAAATTGTCATCTCTTGTTCCTAGTGATGAAAATATCAAGAGTTCTGTACAATGGTTGGAGGAGCCGAAAGCCCCTATGCTTCCCGTATCTAGTCCATTGGATGTTGCTGGTAGTTGTCAAGAACCATCGACCCCGATTGGACAGGCTATTAACCCTAGATGGTCCGAAATCGTGGAGGATGAGAACAACAGTTTTCTAAATCTTCCAGATAGCCTTGAGGTAGCACGAAATAGAGGGGAAAACAAGAATCTATCCGATCAGAGCGATCCAGTTCTTGGTACCAATACTGAAGTTCATGAGACATTCATTGGTCCTAGCCCCTTTCCTCAAGAAGGACGAGGTAGGGGTGGCGGTAGCTATCGTGGGGAGAGAGGAGGTCGTGGAGGTGCTGGAGGGAGCAGATCCAGTTAGGATGTAGGCCTAGGGCCTAATCAGCAGAGTTCGTGGGCCAACGTAACGGCTGCGTCCACACGATCCAATATCAAGCTAAGGTATGTTCCTCCAACTGCTGTTGATGATAGTATTGTGGTAAAGATGCCGACTAGATCGGACCCTTTGGAGAAATGGGATACATGTCTTGTGGGATATTTTGTTGATAAGGGAGTAGGTTATAATTATCTACGGAATAGTGCTTTTGGGGTGTGGAAAACTAAAGGTCGGAAGGAAGTACTTACAAATGGAGATGGCTTCATGTTCCTCATCTTTGATACCCCAGACAGTTGTAGAGAAGTCCTTAAAGGAGGCCCGTGGTACATAGGAGGGTATCTTCTCATTCTGAAACAATGGAAAAGAATGATGAAGTTAGCCAAGGAAAAATCTACAAAAATTCCAGTCTGGGTGAAATTCTTTAATATTCCGCTGGAGTATTGGGATCCGGATGGTCTAAGTCGCATTGCTAGTGCAATAGAGAACCCCCTTTTCATGGACTAGCTCACGGCTAGGGGCAGTAGGGTGGCATTTGCAAGGGTTTGTGTTGAAATTGAGGCGACTTCAAAATTGCCATCTTACTTCCAAATAAGATGTGAGGATGAAGCTGTGCTAATTAGAGTTGAATATCAGGGTTTGCCATCTATATGCCAACATTGTCAAATTTTTGGACATAACACTGATAAGTGTGTGCCAAAGCAAATTGCCCAATTAGTCTCTCTTCAAAAGACAACTGAGGAAAATGTTCCCGATCATGAAGAATGATGGACAACCATTAAACCAAAGGGGAAAAGGAAGGTAGGGTAACCTAAGGTAGAGGTTATTCCAGAAGCTGTGGAAGTACTAGAACCAAACCCAATGACAATACCAACAACAGTCCAACCTGTGGAGATTCATGAGACATTGGCTGAAAATAGCTCATCTGTGGAAGAACAGAGCTCCGAAAGCAATGGAGTGGATAGATTCCAAGAAAGTGTCTCGGAGATTAGAAAATTGGTAATTCTTCAGGCTGTAGAGTTTCTTGAGGCAGTGACTAGTGATACCACCACCAAAAAAGAGATATCCAAACCGGTTGTGCCCCCTCATCAGGCTACCCAGACAACAAAGATCAAATCCTCTGGCAAAGAAAGTAGTAGCCAGAGGAAAAAGAAGAGGTAACTGCTAGTTTTAGTTGGTTGTGGGTTTGTCTTATTATTTTTGTTTCCCAATGACTGTTAAAATTGCTGCTTGGAATGTTAGAGGATTGAATGATCCATCTAAACATAAGGAAATTAAAAATTTGGTGTGTTTTGGAGACCAAAATAAAACTGATTAATGAGAGTAAAATATGTGCTCATTGTTTTGGGAATTGGTCTATTTTATCTAATTTACAACCAACTGAAACTGGTAGGGTTTGGGTGTGCTAGAATAATGAATTTTGTGCTGTCCAAATGTTTTATATGTCCAATCAGCATATTTTTTATAAAATCAATGATTTGGCTGCTAATGAGGAATTTTTTGCAACTTTTGTTTATGCTGAAAATAAGCACATTTTGAGGAAGAATATTTTTGAAACTATGTATCACATCTCCCGTACTAAATCCAAATCTCCATGCATCTTTTTGGGTGACTTTAATGCTATCAGATATCTGCAGGAAAAAGTTGGGGGATCTTCAGGGTGGACTAGTGACCAAGAGGAATTTAACACCTATGTTAATGCTTCTGAGTTGGCCGATTTATCTTATGGGAGCTGCAAATTCACTTGGGCTAATAAAAGGGTTGATGGGGCCTATATAGCCACTAAAATTGATAGAGTTCTTGTTAATGAGTCTTGGCTTGACAAATTTCCTGAGTCAACTGCAACTTTTCTCCCATCTGGTATATCTGACCACTCTCCTGCTATGGTCAATATCAGTGTCGATAAGAGTTCCTTTAAAAAACCTTTCAAATACTTTGATTTCTGGTCCCAACATCCTGAATTTCTCAATACTGTGTCTAACACTTGGGATCAGTATATCAGAGGTGCCCTATGTTTAGGGTGTGTTAGAAACTAAGACAGCTGAAGGCTAGTCTCAAAATTTTGAACAAGAAGGACTTTAGTGATATCTCAATTCGTGTCCAACCTTCCAAGGGTAGTTTGGATCTTGTCCAGTTCAAGTTGGATAGGGATCCTGTGAATTTGGAGCTTCAAGTTCAGGACAGAAAAGAATTTAAAAAATACCTTGACCTTAGCGAAGTGTAAGAGTGCCTTGCTCTTCAAAAATCCAGAGTTCAATGGTTAGGTCTTCGGGACAGAAATAGTAGTTTTTTCTTTAGGTCTGTGAAAATCAATATCAATAGGGGGAAAATTTTAAGTGTTGATCTAGGGGATGATATTAGATCCACTGAAAGTGCTGACATTCATAACACTTTTGTTCAGTTTTATACTAACTTGTTTGGCTCCACCTTCAAGGATCAGTATAATGGCCTTGAGAGGATACAATCTTTGGTGAAAACTAAAGTTTCTATATCCCAATCGGCCAATCTTGTTAGGCCCGTTTCTGATGCTGAAATCAAGGAGGTTTTCTAGTCTCTCAAGGCTAATAAAGCTCCTAGCCCTGATGGTTACTCTGCTGGGTTCTTCAAAAGTTCGTGGGATATTGTTGGTAAGGAGGTTACCCTAGCAATAAAATCGTTTTTTGATTCTGGTAAGCTTCTTACGGAAATCAATAGTACCATCATAGCCCCTATTCCTAAAATTCCTAATCCCATGAAAGTTGGTGATTACAGACCCATCTCATGTTCTAACACCATTTATAAATGCATTGCTACGATCATGGCTAACAGAGTTAAGATGGTGCTCCCTGATCTTATAGACCCAGTGCAATCTGCCTTTGTCCAAGGCAGAAGAATCTTTGACAATATCTTTTTATCCCAAGAGATTTTGAGAGGCCATCATAGGAATTCTAAAACCCCGAAGTATGCTATGAAAGTTGACATTATGAAAGCTTATGATAATGTGAGGTGGGAATTTATTGTTGATATTCTCACTGCGATGGCTTTTCCTCCTTGTATGATAACTTGGATAAAGGCTTGTGTGACTAGTCATTCTTTCTCTATCTGTATTGATGGCAGCCTTTGTGGGTACTTCAAAGGGGCTAGAGGGCTTAGGTAGGGGGATCTTATGTCCCCCTATTTGTTTGTGTTGGCTATGGAGATCTTAGCCAGAATTCTGGCTGAAAAGGCTAGTAGCCCTTTGTTCAAGTATCATTGGAGATGTGAGAAAACCAAAATCGTCAATCTGTGCTTTGCTAATGATCTGATGATCTTCAGTAAAGGGGATCCTCATACTATCATCCTCATTATGCATGGTTTGGAGGAGTTTAGGGGTTTGTCGGGCCTCACACCTAGTCCTAGCAAGAGTAACATTTACTTCTCGGGTTATAGTATGGAGGTTAAAGAAGGCATTCTTCATATTGCTAATTTTACTGAGGGCTCACTCCCTGTGAAGCATCTAGGTGTGCCTTTGATCACAACTAAGCTTAAGGCATCTGATTACCAAATTCTGATTGATAGAATAACTAATAGGATTAAAATTTGGACTAATAAACTTCTATCTTATGATGGAAGAGCTCAACTCTTTTTTCGATGCAAGTCTATTGGTCCTCGCTTTTTATTCTTCCTAAGAAGGTTATTCATGACATTGAAAGTCTTCTTAGATCTTTTCTGTGGTCTGGGACTGAGTTGAAGAAGCATAGTGCTAAGATTGCTTGGAAGAATATATGTAAACATAAGAATGAAGGTGGTCTTGGCTTTAAGGATATGGAGGTTTGGAACAAGGCTGCTATAGCCAAACATGTCTAGTTTTTGTTTTCCGGTGGGGAGTGTTCTATGTGGTGTCAATGGGTTAAGTCTTACTTGCTCAAAGGTAAGAGTTTCTGGGGTACTAAAATGCCTACTGATCCTTCTTGGGTTTGGAGGAAACTTCTATCTCTTAGGAATTTAACTTTCCCTCTTATCAAATTCAAAATTGGTAATGGGGAAAATGTGTTTCTTTGGTTTGATAACTGGCACCCTCTTTGCTCTCTTTGGCATAGGTATGGGCAGAGGATCTTGTATGATACTAACTTTCTTGATAGTTCCAAAGTCAGTTCCATTATTTCTAATGGCTCTTGGATGTGGCCGATCCCTAATACTTGGGAAATAAATGAATGGATTTCCTCTACTCCTCCTACCCTCAATCCCTCCAACTCTCTGGATACTCCCTTCTGGAGCTTGAATGCTGATGGTGTGTTCTCTATTCATTCTACTTGGGACTATTGGAGGGCTAAGGGTCCCAAAGTTCGTTGGTCTAAACTGATCTGGGGACCTCCATTAATTCCTAGGGTTAGTTTTGTTGTATGGTTGGCCATTAATGAGAGGCTGAATACTGGTGATAGATTACAAATGTTTGGTATTGTTCCTAATCCTAGTTGCCATTTCTGTCAAGCTCCTGAGTCGAACCACACCCATCTCTTTTTTAGGTGTGCGTATTCTTCTAAGATTTGGGTTGCTGTCCAGACTAAGTGTAACACTAGTTGTCCTAATTTGTCTTGGGTGGAGACTGTTGATTATGCTACCAAGACACTAAAAGGCAAAACCTTGCAATCTGTAATCATGAAACTGTCCTCCCTTTGCACTGCATAGCATATTTGGATGGAGAGAAATAGTAGAATCTTTCGTAAGGTATCCAAACCTGAAGAGATTGTTACTAACTCTATTATCCAAATGGTTAGAGGCAGAGTTCATTCTATGGAAAATGGGACTAAATCTGCAGGTGATAGCTAGTTTCTGAGGCAATGGAATCTTTCACCTAAGATCATGAAGCTGTCTCAGCCGTATGTTGCTGGAAGGAGTTTGAGTGGTGTGAGATCACCCATATTGAGGGTTGAGTGAGGGTAAGCAGAAAGTGAGTGTTTATTTAATCTAGGTGTTCTTTTGCAGGTTGGCATGTGAACTAATCAATTCCATTCAATGATGGTTTCCTATCCATTAGCAAGTTCGGATAGGTCTTGTGGTGGGTTGAGTGATGTGAGCCCAGATATTCTGTATATCAAAAGTGGGTTGAGGGAAGTGAGATTGCACATATATGAAGTTCTAATCATTATTATATATTATATATTTTTTTATGCAGGTTAAGGAAGCTATCACATACTCATTCTCTCTGTGGGTTCTGTGTGAGGATGTGAGTAGTGGGTCAAGTGAAGTGAGACACTAGATTGAGTGGAGAGATTTCTTAAAATGTGGGTTGAGTGATGGGAGGTCCGAAATTGAGTGTATGCTTTTTTTGCTTCTCTATGATTGTCTATACAGTTCCGATACTCATCTATTACTCTATATTGGGCAGGTATATCTGATCATGGTATGGTGGAGTGGCAGTGGCTGCATTTTGCGCCCTTCTAGAAGGCATCAAATTGTTTGGACATGTACCTTGGGGATGGCTGCTTCCAGCGCCTTGTCAAGCTATATGTGTGTGTTTATCAGTTGTCTTAATTTTTGTTTGTATATAAAACTCTTTGATAGTTTTACTCTCCTAGTTAATGGTAAAGGCGCCTACTCCTACGAGTTGTGTAGGAGGTTCTTGGTTTGGTCTTATTTTCTCTTTATTTTAATGGTCCTGCTGGATATGACCTCGGGTAAAAGAGATTTGCTGAATCTGTTATGCTACTCTTCCAATAGCTATAAAGTGTTGCTGTGTGCAAAATGCAGGACATGGTTTTTGTACAATCTCTGTTGCTGTGTGCAAAATGTAGGACATAGTTTTTAGCTGTTGTGTGCTCATGCTGTACCAGACCTCTATCCTTTGCAGGACATGGTTTTTGTACAATCTTTGACTTGGTTCGCCTTAGTTTCTATCAGTCAGTGATGAAGTTTTAGGACTGATCTGTCTGCTTTGTTAGTTTTGTGTTGTTTTAGCTTTTGTTGTTGTGGGCTGGGTTTCGGTTATTTTTTGGCTGAGGCTTTTGCCTTTGTTTTTTTTGAGGTACGGCCTGGGGTATACCCCTTATATTTTGGTAAATCTTTTTTTTGATTTTATTTCTTATTCACCCAAAAAAAAAAAATTTGAGTTGAACTTGGCCACTTAAGCTAATGAAACTGTTTGTTGCCTAAGCTAATTAGTTCCTAGAAAAAAAAGAGGAGGACGGAGAGAGTCAGAGAGAAACTATCCTCCTGAGAACTAAAAGAGATAGAGAAAAGAAAGGTAAATAGGATAAAACTTACAGGGAATTCAAAGTCATCCATTTGGAATTGAAAATTGAACACTTAGGTGATTTAGAAAACATGAAATGGGTTGCTTAGGTTAAACTAGAATCGTTAAACGACGATTATTCCGTAAATTCTCTTTCTTAGAGGCTAAGAAAGATTAGTTTGAGTGAAACCAGGCCCCTTAAGCCAATAAAACTGTTAGAAAACTATAAATGAGATGCTTCTGTAATGACCCCAAATGTATTGTTATCATAAACCCACCATTATTGATTAAGGATGAAATATTTGTATGAGACTTAATTTAAGGCTTGTTCCTTTATTATGATACGGAAAAGAGTGTTTATTAGAAAAAAAAAAACTTATGTGATCTGTGTTATTCAAAGAGGTCATACCCTCAATTCAATTCAGTACTTCCGACATAGATGAATAATGTGTGTTCTCGTGTGAATTGACTATGGACCTAAGTGAGTAATACCTTTGTAAAAGATACTTTTGTGTAAATGATTTTGAAAATGGCTATGTCAGACGGTGTGCAATGAAATCTATATTTTGGTTACGAAATGTTCTATATGATGAGTATTTTCTAAAAGGATAAAATATACTATGAACTTCCGACATGTTTATGATATGATAAGCTTTCCGAATAATTTCCCCAAAATGACTAAATATGCTACGAAACTCCGAATGTTCAAGATATGACAAGTTTTTTGAAAGAGATATTTTCCTATGCATGAATGAGTTCTTCATTTGATAATTGATTGTGGCATGCTTGATAAAGGCTTTATGTTGAGCTTCAAGTTATTCTGGCTTATCTGTTATAAGTTGGATCGGAGATTGTGCTGTCAAAGTTTAAATAAGTTTAATGTTATTGGGAATTATTCCATGATCTGATATCTTTACAAGGTCTGATAAGTTTCTAAGTAATATCTCTGAACAATGTATTGTATATAATTATGGAGGGTTTAAAGAACTTTATGTATTACGTATGTTTGGAAAATGTTTTTGTCCATGATAGGAACATTTTGCTAAATATGGAACAAGAACATAATACCTTTATGGTAAATGTATTGTGTGCTTAATGTCATGATGTTGATTTTGAGATCTTCTAAACCAGTATGGATTTTAAATGCTTATTACCTTACAGCAATTTGGGAAGTATGATCATTAAGGCTTGATCTGTATTTGATTTTATGAACATGTAATTCCTTGATATGAGATTTAAGTTGGTATTTGGAGTCTGTTAGAGATTTGATTTGAACTGATAAGTCTAATTCAGATAATGAGCAAAGACCCATGAAGTCGTTGATTTGGAACTTGATTGCTATTATGGGTCTAATTGATGTAAAAAGCATATACCTTGAAACATGATTAGGTCGTGAATGTTGAAGTACGAAATGGAGGTTATTTGTGATCTTAAAAGTTTGAATTATGTTTGATAACTTATGAGTCGTATGCATACGAATACTTGAAATGAATTTATTTCTAAATACCCTTAAGTTGTTATATTATGTGAAAGATATGATTTTTGGAGTAATAAATTAAAATGTACAAGGTTATGAATAATGAGACGATGCTTTGATGTTAGTAAGTATTATTATCAATTGGGTTACCAAGTAGTTACTAGAGATGAATTAGTTGTGATTTTGGGAGCAAATTCCATCGTAATTGACTATATAGGATTGTGAATGGCCAAATGATTGAGAAATGCTATATGTCCAGGACGAAATTAGACTTGTGAAAGGTGAATCAAGTTTGGAGGACGAAAATTCTTAAGGTGGGGAGAATGTAATGACCCCAAAAGTCATCCTTATTTAATTAGGGGTTAATGTGTTTTAATTCAACTATATCTATCGGAATTAAAGAATTATCTGCTGAGTTATGGCGACCTTTATTGTATCGGCATGAAATTTTTTTTCCCTCCGCTCGAGCGTGGGCTCATTTATGACATTCTTAATAGTGTATTTGGAATGTTCTTACCTTATTTTGGAGTATTGTTTGAGGTGGTGGTATGATGGTAAAGTAAGATTGGACCAACGAATATAATTCGAATAGTTAATCAACGATCGACCGTCATTCATTTGCCCTTTTCTTTTTCCACACTTTGAATTTGGATGTGAGGTTCGAACCATTGGAAAGCTTATCTCCGGGGCTTCAATTTGACCACAAGAATGACCTAAAACGGAGTCCGGATGAGAGAGTTACGTCTGTTCAAAGTTTTGAAATCTGTGCTGAAAGCAGGTACGCTCGAGCGTGGGAATAGACGCTCGAGCGGGGGACCCGAATGCAGCAAGTTTAAATCGCATTTCTGGATCATTCTTGGCATTGTTCATCTCCTTCCTCCTTCCTCTCTTAGGTCCGAAACCCTAGCCCCCAAAACCTTGATTTCCTCTACTTTGATCAACAATCCACCATGCTTCTTGCATCAAGGATGGAGAACAAGAAAGGATCAACATTTTTAACCGATTGGAACTTGGATTTGCAAAGGATTCTCAGTAAAGCTTCGTCCCTTTGCTAGTTTCTTGAGGTAGGGTGCTAGTTCTCCTTCATGCTTTCATTGATAGATAGATTTGTGATACTTTGGAGTGTATAAATGTAAAACCCGTATTTTTTTTTGAACATCTAGTGTAGTGTTTATTTTGAGAATTGGGGGTTTAGAATTGGAGATGTTGGAAGTTAAATTGTTGGGTTAAAATGATGGATGGTGAATCCTAGATGTATAATTATTGGGAAAATTGGAATAAAAAGTAATGGGTTAAAAAGCTTGAATTTTTCTCAAAATTTTAGTATTTTCTTGAAACCCTAGGTTGATTAATGATGATAACCAATGAATTGGCCCAAATTGAAAGTAGAGTAATGAAATTGAGGTATTGAATTATATGTGTTCAAGTTTAATTGGAATTTGGAAATGTTTGAAAATTATGTTTAAAATTTGCGAATGAACTATGTTATGAACATTGTAATTCATGCTGTAATGTGAAGGGAAAATTGGGAAAATAATCTATTAATGATATGGATGATATGAACTCGATTTTGGAATGTTGAAATGGAATTCAAGGATTTATTTTGAATTATGTTAAATTACAAATGGTGTTGATGAACTAAGTGATATTGACTTTGTTGGATTATGTTGTGTTGACTCATAGTGAATTGAATGGTGCTGTACTATGATGAATTATGTTTGAATTACGTGAATTGTGTAGGGTCAGCTACAGGGGCGGTTCAAGCACCTGAACACTGTGAGTAGTAGTACCGAAATGTACATCTTATTTATCGTTGATAATTATTGTCACTAACACTC